GGCTCTTTCACTAAAGCAGAAACAAGTATTATAATCATTCCTAGCTTTCTGACTGGAAGATAATGTCAAAGGAAAATTTAAAAATCTCAATCAGCCTTATCACCATCAGTCATTAGCAGCACTAGTTAGTAGTAAATTCAAAGGTATTATGTTTAGGTCACATGATTTGTACTGCATGATTATGAGCCAACAGGTTGTCATTCATTTCAATACTAAGTTAATCATTCAATGAACCAGGATTTAAATGGTATAATGATTATCTGGATCCGGCACAGTCTGGTTTTAGGCTGGGATGCGGAATTGAAACAGACTTGGTCGCCTTAGTGGATAATCTCTATAGGGAACTTGACAGGGAGAGTGTGTCCCTGTGGTTCTCCTGGACCTCCCAGCAGCCTTTGATACCGTTGACCATGGTATCCTTCTGGGACGCCTCGCAGGAATGGGGCTTGGGGCACAGTTTTACAGTGGCTCTGGTCCTTCCTGGAGGGTCGTTCCGAGAAGATTTTGTGGGGGACACCTGCTCGTTTTGAAGTTGGATGTCATCTGTATGCAGTTGATGTTCAGCTCTCTTACTCCTTTCCACCTCCTACTAAGGAGGCTATTCAGGTCCTGAGCGGGTGCTTGGCAGCTGTGACAGCTTGGATGAGGGCGAACAAATTGAAATTGAATCCAGACAAGATAGATGTACTCCTGGTCAGTTGAATGGGGTTACACTCCCCCTGAAGTAACAGGTTCGCAGCTTGAGAATTCTCCTGGATTCATTGCTGAGCCTGGAACCCCAGGTTTCAGTAGTGACCAGGAGAACTTTTGCACAATTAAAACTTGTGCAGCAGTTGTGCCCGTACCTTGAGAAGTCAGACTTGGCCATGGTGGCCCACGCTCTTGTTACATCTCATATGCACTCTGCATGGGTGCAATGCACTCTACACGGGGTTGCTTTTGAAGACTGTTCGGAAGCTTCAAATGGTCCAGTGGGTGGCAGCCAGGTTTCTAACTGGAGCGGCATACAAGGAGCACCCAACCCCCTGTTATGCAAGCTCCACTGTCTGCCAGTCTGTTACTGAGCATAATTCAAAGTGCTGGCTTTAGCCTATAAAGCCCTAAATGGTTCTGGCCCAGTTTACCTGTCCAAACTTATCTCCCTCTGTGATCCAACTTGGAGGTTAAGATCTTCTGGGGAGGCCCTGCTTTCAGTCCTGCCTCCGGCACAGGCACAATTGGTGGGGATGAGAGATCGGGCCTTCTCAGAGCTGGCCCCTTGGCTATGGAACTCTCTCCACAGCAAAATCATAGCAGCTCCCTCTCTCCTGACCTTCAGGAAGAAAGTAAAAACCTGGTTATGGGGCCTATCTTTTGGCTAGCAAGTTAGTGCAATATGAGTATATGTAATTGTGAAATGACTAATAAAATGGCCTTGAATTTGACTCTGGATGATGTGATTTTAATTGTTTTAATATTGCTGCTGATTTTCAGTTTTAATGCATATGTCTATTTTTACTGTATATATGTCTGTATGTATGATGCATGCATGTATGTATATGCATGGCATCAAGTTGCTGCCTTTTTGTAAGGCAACTCTGAGACACACTTGGGGTGAAAAGGGCAGGATATAAATGTAGTAAATAAATAAATAAGAGAATTGCAGAAATTGCTGTAATTAGTTATTCTTTGCGCATTCCATGTTCAGTATGTTTTTTCTTCAAATTTTCAAAGCTTTTCCAACACTGTTGATCAGAAACCTACTTTTTAGGACTAAAATGTTGACCCTCATATATCACAACATTACACATTAAATAAAATCATTAAGTTAAAATCCATTTAAAAACATTATTAACAACCATTTAGCCAAATCCAATCCAATTCAGCATCCCAAGACTTTGTCAGAGCCTGTCCATTGGCAGTTCACGTAAACATTGCAATCGCTATCAAGCTTGTTCCCCAAATGCTTGGCCCCAGAACCATGATTTAAGCTTCTTTCTGAAGGAGAGGAGGGATGGAGCTGACTTAATCTCTCTGGGGAGGGTGTTCCAGAGGCAAAGGGGCCACCACTGAGAAGGCCGTCTCTCATCCTCGCCAAATGTGTTTGCAAAGATGAGACCGAGAGCAGGGCCTCCCCTGACAATCTTAAAGTCCGAGGCAGGACGTAGAGGGAGATAAGTTCGAAGAAGTAAGCTGGGCCGGAACCATATAGGGCTTTATACGTCAAGACCAGCACACTGAATTATGCTTGGAAATGGACCGGAAGCCAGTGGAGCTGACACAACAGATACATTTTCTGTGTGTAAAAAGTATCCTGTCATGTTGTGTCAAAACCACTCCTGGCTTCTGCCAGTGTTTAAAATCCTCAAAATGTTCTTTCAAACCTTCCATATCTCCCCACAGACCACTTATCTGCATTTCTTTCTTGGGGGTAAACATAGATCTGCACAGTGCCTGAAGCTCCATTTTTTTAGAACTTGAATCAAGAGTTTCAGTCTTTATTTCTGGTTTCTGTCCTGAATTTTAAGAAAGCAACAATTTCAATAATTTATTTTCATCACTTGTTAGAGAAGTGTCATTCCCTGTGGGGTATTATTCGCAAACATCAGTGACCTCAGAAAGAAAGAAGAAAGAATCCAAGACACCCAGTACATGCAGATTCACAGAGATGGAAGAAAACTGTGACTAATTTGACCAAAAACTTTCCCACATAGTCCTTTTGAGAATATGCCATACCCGGAATCCATAAAAGTTTGTATTTATTTACAGTATTTATATACCGCTTTTCTCACCCCTAGGGGTGAGAAATTCTGAGGACATTGGCATGTCTAAGGCTCATGACACCAACGGTCCATCTAATCTAATCTTGTGTCTCAAGGTATATGTTGTGGGAAGCTAAAGGTAGGCTATGATCATTAGCCAATGATCTGTGCCCCTCCCCCAACTGAATGTATCCAACGCTTCAAATAAATTAAGGCAAATGGGGCTGGTACCAGGGATAGTCTATATAAATAAAAATGTAATGTTTGTTTGTGGGATTAACATAACTCAAAAACCACTGGACGAATTGACACCAAATTTGGACACAAGACACCTATCAGGTCGACGAGTGACCATCACTCATAAAAGCACTGAAAAACACAACAGAAGAGACTTAAAAGCAAAAAAAAAACATTATAACGCATGCACAAAACCACACATATATATACACACAAACACATATATACACATATACACAAATATATTCACACACAAAACACATATACACAAACTGGGGCACAGCAAGACGTGGCAGGGAATGGCTAGTATTACATAATTTTAAAATAAATTAAAATGAAATGGATTTACCAAGAGTAAATAAACTTAAAATTTTTAATTTCTTGGCTCTTACTTGCTTAATGGTATAGCACTCTGCCAGCAGAAAAATACAGATGGAACTTCGTAATCCTTGGTGAACTGATACTCTCCAGTGTACCATAGAGAAGGATCACTGGTGTCCATAGTCATGATGTGTTGTCTTAATTGAGGGAGGTGGTTACACTTTTTTCCTGCTTTTTTAGTCACTGAAAAAAATGGGTTTGCTAGGAGGCAATTATCCATTTTATCCCGGGAAAGGGAGGATTCATTGCTTTCCCTCCCAGTTTGTTTGTTTACCTTTTATCCACTATAAAAGTGACTCCAACGTTGCTACTAAACCTCGGGACAAATTTCTATGGCAGTAATAGATTTCCTCCACCATGGCAAGTAATAAAATTCTATTTGCCATCATTCCTCTTTTTCCTGCTACAATAGCATTTTTCCTTTGCTCAGGAAGTACTTCCATAGTTGTAATAGATTGCTTCCTCTAATACAGTTCCCAACTTCTGGGCCTCCAAGTGTTGTGTCGTTTACCTTAGCGTTCATTTTGTGAGTATAGTTTATTGTTGTCCTTCTTTGCTTCGGCACTGCTCGATCTGCTCTGAAGGGGGCAGGATGGTGGGGGGCCCCGTGGCTGGGGCAAACTTTGGGGCGTGCCTTCACCTTCCTCCCTCAACACTCCTTCTCTGCCTCAGTCCGAAATTGTGCCTGAGGGAGAGGGAGTGTGCCTCAGCCACTCACACACCAGGCCTCTTTGGCCAGGTAAGGCAGGCCTCGCCTCTTGGGCTCTGTGTGTTTATTTGGCTGCTCGGGCATACGCATCATGCCCCCTCCATTGGATTTCCCTAACTTCATAGCCTTCCTTTCAAAAAGTCCTCACTGTCAATCATTGTCTCATCTGAGGGAGGCAGACCTCCCTCCCTCCTCCAATGCCACCCCCACCCTCAGGAATGCCGCTATATGTTTATTATTTACTTCATTGGGGCTCCTTTGGGCACCCTGTGTCTTTCTTTAGGTCCCTTCTACACACCTGTACGTAATCCACATACATTAAACTGGGTTACATGGCAGTCTGGACACAAAGCCGAGGTTACGGATTATCTGCCTTTATGTTGTGGGTTATATAGCTGTAAAGAAGGGCCCTAAGTCTACACTGACATATAATCCAGTACAAAGCAGACATTGTGGATTATCTGCCTTGATATTCTGGGCTGAAGATGTCCTCACTCCTTGCATTCCTATTATTCCAATGGATATGCCATTTCAGTTTAAAAGGTTGCAATTCCCAATTTGATTGGCGTTTGCAATCACCATCAACAAAGCTCAGGGCCAATCTTTACAATTGTGCGGTTTAGATATAGACACAGATTACTTCTCACATGGACAATAATACGTTGCATGTTCTAGAGGTGGCAAACTAGACAATCTCTATATCTGCACAGACAATGGAACAGCCAAAAATATTGTATACCCATGAGCATTGTGAAATTAAATATATTAGAAACCTGCTCTTTCTCTTTTCTTTCTTTTCCATTTAACCAGACTGGGTCACAGCAACATGGGGCCAGATACAGCTAGTATTCTATAGAATTTTAAATTCCTGACATAGTTATCCATAACTTTAAGGCCAATAAATAAGCATTTATTATTTAATTGCCTTCTAGGAGAGGAAGAAGAAGAAGAAGAGCCTGAGATGCCAGTTGGGCCTCGCCCACGCCCAATGTCTGAACTTCACCTGAAGGAAAAAGCTGTACCAATGCCAGAAGCCAGTGCTTTTTTCATATTCAGCCCGAGTAACAGGTATTTGGAATGGCTGCACTTTTGTGACATCCAGGAAACACAAAGAACAGATCTAGAGTTCTGCTTTTGTAGGAAAATGTATGTTGTAGCATGTCTTCCATGCAGGCCCACTTGAGAACTCCCCACTACAAGGAACAGAGACATCAAGTACTTTTAACAAGAAACAAATCATGAAGAATTTTGGAACAAGGAGACCCCACGGAGTAGTTATCTGAATAAGTCATCAGTGAGAAAATGAGGCAGTTGTTTTCCATGAGCACCTTTCCGTTTGGAAGGAGAAAACATTTTTTGACTCTGCAGTAATAATGGTTAAAGGCAACTAATAATTTGCTATTATTAATTGAAGTTATAAGGAAAAATACAAGTAATATTTTATTGTAATATGTATATGTATAGGCTGGCAAAGTTGGAATATCTCTATTCTTCATTTACTGAAACGGCAACTGTAAACAACTGTCTCCAGGCCTGAATGCCTCCACTCAGTAATCAAGACAACAGTTGAGCTAGACCCCTGGTATTAACAAGGGGAACAGTTGTGATTTCCACTTGACAGAGATATTTTTAAGGCCCTATACTTTCAATTTAAAGCATTTCCTTTCCATCTTTAGCCAAAAGGTCTCCCAGAGTGGTTTATGTTGCATCAGTAACAGACAGAAGCTCTGTGAACGGGTTGATAGAAGAGAATACAAATTCTAAAAGGAATGGAGAAGGACAAAAACAAATGCAGGCACGAGTTCTTAAATGATGAAAGTGCTGATTACAGCTTTTCTTTTGTAAAGGAATTTGCTTTGATATGCACCTACTACAGACTTCAGTTTGATTCACACCTGCCTCATTTAAAGGATTCCAGATCTAATTCTGGTTCTCCAGTTGGCATTATAATTAGTAGATGGAAATATAATTTGGAAGGGAGTAAAATGCTATTACTGAAAAATATGATTGAGGCAATTAAGAGACAGTTAACAGCTACTCCTGTTTCTCAGACCTCCGCTCTTAAAGAATCATTTCAGCTCTCCAATGAATATTTAATTGCTCAACAAAATCTGCTATATATAATTCAAAAAAGAAAGGCCAGATTGGTATCCATAGAAGCTTGCATAATGTAAGCAGCTTTATAAGACCTCAACTGTTGTCAACTAAATGAGAGGCAATTTTTTCATAGTCATAATAAGCAGGCCTTCAATCTGTAATTGACTGGAGTAGAAAGATATGCAATAAGTGCGAGGTTTTGAAATATTTAATATAAGTTTTATACGTTTTTGTTTTAAATTAATGTTTTATTTGGCTTGATTATTTAATGATTTTAAAATTTATGTAACCCATGTTTTTTAGTTATTTTAACCTATATTGCAAGCCAGATTTGGTCCTACATTGTGAAAAAGGCAGGATATAAATGAAATCAACAAATATTACCCTTACCAGTTAGAAATAACTTTCTGGTTACATTTTAATGCAGATAAATGGGATGGCTTGAGATTCTTTTTGAGCACTGACTAGCCTCTTGGCTAATGACACTCTCTCAGCTGAACTGACTGGGGGTCTCAGGTGTTATTTGAAGTCTCCCAGACTTGTATACTTCTCCATCTCCTCAGTAAGGACTTCTTAACAAGAATGTCTTTGGAGTTTAGGGCTGTTATCAATATGTATGTATTATGTTTAGAGCAAGTTTGAAGAAACACTGGCCCATGGTTCACATCTGCTTCCTGGAGTTTTTTTTTTTTTACAGCATTTCCATCCTTCAGCAAACTCCCCTCCCTCATCCAATCCAAAATTGCTGAAAATCATTCAAAATCAATCCTGGAAGTCATCAGGAAATCCCTCCAAACTCTCTCCATCAAAGAAAATCTGCTACAGCTAGTGACAAGAAATGAATTCCAGATTTCTTTTTTGTTCCTTATCAGACAGTTTTCTTTAGTCCACAGTGGAATACAGAGGGGGGGGGGATTCCTTCCCCTATCACAGTGGTTTACCCAAGCTTAGAAAGTTTGCAATCTAGTTTTCCATTTGTACAAATTATCAAAGCTCCAATCAATAAAATAACAATATGTAACAGTAGAAAAATAATTTACATTTGGCAAAGCTCCACAACCTATGTCATTCAACAGAAAATCAGTATATGAAATCAGCTTTTAATTGATCAAATTTGTGGATCTGACTAATAGCAGATAGCACAGAATAATGGCAGTTTGATACCACATGTGTTGTACAACTATTATCTCTTCTTTATTGGATGGAAATAATGATCCATGATTTGGAAATGTTTTAGATTTGTTTGTCATGGATCAGTTATTGTCCGGTTAAGATTGGGCTTATGACCCTAAATTGACTTCTGCAGCTTACCTAGTAAAATGATCAGATGTCAGTCATTTATGAATGCAAACATTTTCAGTTAACTTTGGAGGTTTCTGCCTAATTGAGCTCTGCAATATGGAATTCTTATATATTTGATACAATGCCCCCGAAGTTGAACTGAAAGTGATAAGAGAAATCCTACATCACTATTCCATCCACACAGCCTCATCCTACTCAGCTTTTCTTTATGGTGACAAATACTTTTAAACTGGGCATTTTAAGCAAAATATTCCTTGTAAGGGTTAGAAAATTCCAGCGTTGCTTGCAGTGACATGACTTTAAAGAGATTTATATATAAAATTATTTTTATCCTGATTCCATCATTATTTTAGAGCTGGTAGCAAAGGTATTCACATCCTCCTATGAAGGGAAGATACTGTATTAAAATTGCTGTGTAACCCTCTTTGCTTAATGGTTGTAATTGTGTGGACTAGTGTGGTGGCAAACCTTTGTCTAGGCTGTAGAAGTTCAGATTGCAAGTTCAGAACCACATGCTTGAATATTCCTCTTACACAACCCAGAGAGAGAAGAATCTTAGTCTGCTCATCTTCCTCTATGCTAATTTTCAGTGTGGTGAAATGTTTCATATTTAAGACACTTTCAGTCCAAAGTGATAGCTGACAAGCACAGATTTACAACAGCTACAAGACCTAGGACTATGAAATCCAGAGCAGGTAACAAACTATCCTTAGTTTTAATTTTTGCTGAAACAGAGGCTAGATGGTCATTTGCTGTGAGTGCTCCGATTGTATTTTCCTGCATGGTAGAGAGTTGGACTGGATGGCCCTTGTGGTCTCTTCCAACCCTATGATGCTACGATTCTATCTTCAACCAACATGACTTTGTATCTCTCTGTTTTTTCTTTTCAGATTTCGGGTTCACTGCCATCGCATTGTTAATGATAACATTTTCACCAACCTGATCCTCTTTTTCATCTTGCTCAGCAGCATCTCTCTGGCAGCTGAAGACCCAGTTCGACACTACTCCGTTAGGAATCAAGTATGCCTCCCATCTTCCTTGCATCTCTGCAGCTTGTTCAAAATGGGATTCAGCATCCAGATGAGGAGAACCAATCCAGTCCCACACTCTGCTTTACTAAATTCATGTATATATATAGATAGACAGCACCTGTCTGCACCCCAGATTTTGTGTAAATTAATCTCATATTCTGTGTTTATATTGAATTACAGTTTATACACACAATCACATTAGACTTTGTGTGGTCAGAAGGCACAAAGAGTTTAATACAGAAACAAGCAGCACAAAGGTGGGGTAGCTCAAGTAATATCAGGAAACATTAGGGGAAAATATTTAGGGAAATTATATGATACTGTGCATCAAAAGGAGTATAGTATCTAGGTCAAGGGAAGTAACGGTGCCCCTATACTCTGCTTTGGTCAGGCCTCCCCTGGAATATTGTGTCCAATTCTGGGCATCACAATTTAAGAAAGGTATTGGCAAGCTGGAATGTGTCCAGAGGAGGGCATCTAAAATTATCGAAGGCCTGGTAACCATGCCCTATGAGGATAGGTTTAAAGAGCTAGATATGTTTAGCCTGCAGAAGAGAAGGCTGAGAGGAGACATGATAGCCATGTATAAAAATGTGAACTGATGTCATAAGGATGAGAGAGTAGGCTTGTTTTGTGCTATCCTGGAGACTAGGACTCAGAGAAATGGGTTCAAATTAGAGGAAAGGAGATTCCACCTGAACATTAGGAAGAACCTCCTGACCATAAGAGCTGCTCAACAGTGGAACACTCTGCCTTGGAGTGTGGTGGAAGCTTCTTAGTTGGAGGCTTTTAAACAGAGGCTGGATGGCCATGTACTGGAGGTGCTTTGGTGGTGCTTTTCCTGCATGGCAGGGGGTTGGACTAAATGACCCATGTGGTCTCTTCCAACTCTATTATTCTATTCTGTTATTCTGTTCCTCAACCTGGACCCTTTCAGGTGGTTTTGCTGGCTAAAGATGATAGGAAATGTAGTATACACATATATGGAGGATGCCAGGATGGGGAAATGATGCTGTGGGAAATTATGAATGCAATAAATACCTTTATTCAACATCCTGCTATCTATTTAAAGTTTTAAAAGTTCATGCTACATATTTCTAAAGACATATTCAGATTAGCACTCATAAACCGTCTAATCAGTTCCTTGTTATCACTACAGAAAAGGTGTTCAAGACATAAAAGGGATTCTGAAATTAATCTTTAGTTATTACTTGTCATGTTACTTTTTGTAGCCCAGTGTAGACAAACTGTAATCCTACAATTATTTTTTGATTTTAGCATTGGCTATATTGTCTAAGGGAAGTTGTTTTAGCCATTTCCCAAGTGCTCCTCATTAATTTATCAAGTTTCTCTCCATGGTTTTTAATATCAAGTTTATGTTATCTATTCAAACCAGTCATCTTGTTGACTTCCTCTTTGAATTTACTTATAAGCAGAAAATAGCATGTCAGGTTAGGAAAAAATGCAAATAAGCAGGAAAATACCAGACAAAGCAACATTCATATATTATTGTCCAATACATTTGACAAAGGACATGGTTATAGTACAAATGTATGTTGGTTTCATACCACTATATCATCCTTTTTGCAAAGAATCCTGACAATGTAGAATTTAAAAACATAATTGTTTCATTTTGAGGAATGTGTCTCAGGTTTTCTGTGCATGGTTTATATGGCATAAAGGAGAATAGGTACATTAGAATGCAGGAGCTTACTTTAAAATTGCAATGAGGTTTCCAAGAAATTGTTTCTGTCTTTGAGGCCTTCTGTCTGAAAGATGAAGATTTAATGTACCAGGGATCCAAAAGAAAAGAAATTTTGAGAGTGAAGCATTTGCAATAGATTAAATCCAACAGTCAAGTTCTTTGAATAGAGTTTATGCCAATAGAAGTAGGCTGTGGACAAGTTAAAGTGGGAAGAAGAAAGAGAAGGAGTCATTGTGAAAGCAGTTGAAAAAGTGGAGTGACAGAAAATTAACTGGAGTTGTCCCTATCCAATTTGAACAGTTGGAGGGTACAGTAGGGAGCACTGTGCAGGAAGGCAAAAGCCTCTCTGTTAGAGCAGTGATCTCTATTATGGCTGTTCTCCACTGGTAATAGTGACAGATGAGCGCTATTCTCCATGTTAGAGAACCTGGAGATAGGGAAGGATTATCACTTCTCAGGCCACCCAAGAGTGGCCACAGAGCACTTGTTTTGCATAGCTTGTATGAATTATTTGCATCTACAAATAAGTTAGCTTTTGAAACTGAATAATTAAGAAAAACTATTCCATTGATTTGAACAAAGTAGGTTCAGACATGCATGAAGTTCTGCTAAACGGAACCTTAGTCCAGTCATCTTTAATTGCATTGTCATGGAATTTGGCCCATAAAGCTTTGTGCTGGGAGGAAAGATCAATTGGGTGGCATAGCCTTCCTTTCTGCCTTGGTTAACGATTGCTCCCTAATGTACCTTCACACATGTTCTATCCAATTGGTTTTTCATTTGTGAAGCGATGAGGTTTCTGTGCTTCCCCCAGAGACAATAACTCTGCAAGGTTTAATCGAACTTACTGTGGAGTTAATCCTGAAAGAATACAATCACAAATTGTATGTCTAACAATGTAGTTAACAATATTCTGGGACCAAAGGATTTGCTCACTAACTTAAAACATATGGTTGACTTAAATCCTCTCAAGTTAATACCAATATGCCAATTCACTGTGCTTGAAGTTTAAAAGAGCCTTTTGTTCCAAAGCTAATTATGTTTACTGCTCAGAAGCAAGTCTCACTGATTTGAATGACAAGTATGCTTGAGACTGGAACCTTGCTGGATGTATTGGAATATTGCTGTCCAGCATCAGTAACTGCTGGATTGTTTTGCATTAGAAAGTGTGGTTGAATATAAAGTACATACTGTATATATATTTTTATTCATCCTCATAGCAAATGTCATATCAGATTTTGCAGAAAAGTCTGAAGGCACTTTGTCTTTCTGTTTGAGTATTCATCAATTGCAAAAGAGAAATAGAGGAAACTTGAAAATAGTTATAGGAATAGAGGTTGCTTATTTTTAAATAGAGATCAATTATATTTCTATGGTGGGCATAATGTTTAACTTGGGAAATGCTGGAAATGACTAGTTTTTGTCAAAAAAAACTGTTGTCAAGAAAATGCCTATGACAAAATGGTGAACAAAGGAAGATGCTGTTTAAATGTACTGCTTGTAGCCTGAGCATTGCTTTCACCAATTTGTTATTAAACACTTTCAGCACCACTTCCTCCTTTCCTCCAGTTAAAATGGTTGTGCTTTTTGATTTTATATTGTGACTTGCTTTTGTAGTGATCACTCACAGATCTCCCCTCTCCTTGCCCTTTATTCCCTTTTGTTTTACAGATTCTCTTTTATTTTGATATATTTTTTACTGTCATTTTCACCATTGAAATTGCTCTGAAGGTAAAGTCCCCATGTTCTCTTGCATTATCTTCTCAATCCTGGGCCCATTAGTTCTCTGCTGCTGCTGCTACCTACCACTAACATGCGTGCCTATTTGTCTCTTGGCCACACTCAGTAATCACTAACCCAACTGTGCTTATTTTTCAGATCCTAGGCAATGCAGATTATGTCTTCACTAGTATCTTTACATTAGAAATTATTCTTAAGGTAACCAATATGTGCAATACACTTCTCGCTCGCTTTTGCTTTGTCTTTTGTATCGCTTTAAATCCCAAGTCTTACTTCCACGAACAAGTCATCCTTTGTAGCTCAGTAGCAACTGTGTATGCTTTTAAAAATTGTTCCAGCTTAATATTAAAATCCATTACTTGTTATAACTTACCTACTTACCTACTAATCAAAGAAAGCATTAGATCACTGTTTAGGAAGCTCAGGGAAGTAAAAGTGTCCTGGAGCGCTATGTGTTTTCACAATTGTAGACAAGACTACCACATGGAAATAGGTTGGTTTCAGTCTATTTGTAGTGATCCTTCTCAGTTCACGGCTTTGGGGGGGGGAAAGCAAGGTGCTATGGGAAGCATGTTGTATAGAACACAAATAATCATTTCCATTTCCACAGCCCACTTGGTACACATGTTGTTTTGTGCAGCTCCCACGTGCACTTATTTAGAAGCTGGGAATAGAATTTCTACATGAGCCTCGGCCTGCACAATGTATTCCTTGCCATATGTTGCTCACCGATTTTGCGTGATGCTACCAGAACTTGGAAAGTTGGGTTTAAATGCATTTTTCTGTGATTTACTGCATTGCCAAAAAGGATGATTTGGTGTCATTAATGTTGGGTTTAAAAAAGAAGAAGAAGGTAAAATGTTTTATTTCATGGTTTGGCTTGGAAAGAAAATGCCATAACATTTGAAAAATTCCACTCAAAACGTCCTCTAAATATAACTAGACTAGAGGATACCAATTTTTTAATAGTCATTCCTGTTCAGTGAATTTCTATTGAAATGTAATCCTTTAAAGTCCTTGTTACTAAAAGAAGGGTAATTATTTTATTTGCCATGCCTTCACTTCCAAGTTCTGGATAATTCACTTGAGATTGCTAAAATAGCCAGATGTAATAAAGAAGTTTTCTGACCATTTAATTTTTGGCCCACACAAGCTGTGTCTGCTAAAATCTGTATAACTGTTAAAGACATGGGAGCTTTAGAGTTTTCCTAGAATTGCAAATGGGGGAGAAGTAATAGCAAATATTAAGCTTCTGGCAATCTGTAGTAGGTGACTCGTGAGCTAGATTTGCTTTGATAAATTATATGTCGTTCACGCCTTTATAGAAAACAACAGGGAAAGCCAGTAAAAATTAAACTACACCTTACATTGAACTCGAGACACTAAATCTGGAATCACTGCTTTTTAGGGGGGGGGGATAGGGTAGTGAATTGTCATAGAGAATCAGCAGAAGGAGGAAGTACTCCTTTGCCACCAAACATTTCTCTGTGGGGAAACCCTTCCATCCAAATAATGCCTTTACAACACAGTCATCAGGGTTTAAATTTGCACATTTTTATGTAAGCTATTGACTGTCCCTCATTTCTGGTGCATCACAGTATTTAAGAATCACTGCTACAAAATCCTAGGATTCAATCAATGATTCTATTCAGATAATTTACACATATATAGATCTAACAAAAGTAATAAAGGGAACAGTTTGCCTCTATGTACCAAAAATGCAAGACAAAAGCTTCCACTGATAATCTCCATAGGCCTGTTTCCCATCAACTGCTTCTGCAACTTCACTGTATGCTTAGAAATGCAGCATTCCTGATTGAAGAGTTTAACTTTTAGCATGAGATAAAATGATATTAAGTTGCTTCTATGTCCACTCCTTTATAAGACACAAGGTGTCATTGAGTTTAAGCCTTGCTGGCTGATTGAGGCTTAACTTTGGTTAACTTCTCAAAAAGATGCAATCATTTGGAATCCCACATCCTAAATAGATTAGCTGCCTCCTCACGTCCATATTCTCTCCTTTTAGTTAATAGATGGAATGTTTTGGTTTCCTGAAGTGATTGCCCTCCATAAGAGGCTACAGAATAGTACAGTGAAGCATTCAGAAATAAGGCCACTTTGTAGTAATTTTTGAAACCATGGCTTGAGTATGTATAGGATGCTAGTGTAGTTTATTTTTATACCAAGACTTTGGAGATGGAAAGGTGCTGTTACTTAACAAACTTAATTGTTGGTCCAGAGTTTCGGACCTGCAAAAATTGTCTCTAAGACATGGGAGAGTCGAATTTAAATAAAACATTTTGTTTTATGTGATTCTTACTATCTTATTAATTGATACATAGAGAAGGGTATATGTTGTTCAAGTCTATAGGTAGTGAAACAAAGAGGCAGGAAAAAATAGGTCATGGCCTGATGGTGAACTTTGTCTGAGCCAAGCATGCTCTAAATAGTCCTGAGTTGTCCAGCCTATCAAAACCTTTACCTACCTTATTCCAAAGGACAGTTGGCTTTCTTTTTAGCTCCCCTTTCTGTACAGTACCTGAGAGAAAGAGGGATAAATCAAAGTTGTTACTACCTGTCAGGAGAGGTGGCAATAGTTCAGAATAGTTCAGAATGACCCAAATGTGGTAAAGCCTTTCTCCTGAACTGTTGTATTCTTGATGTAGTCTTTTCACAAATTGTGTACTGATATCTCAGAATTAATTGTCAAAACTAATATTTAAGAATATATGCTTCAAGAATAATACTCAAGGAGGGTTGGCTTTTTTCTTATAGTTTGCCTTGCTAGGGAGTAATTTGGGGGAAATACAGGATTATATGTACACACCTAACATGCTACAATGCATGACATTTACTATTTTCAATATATAATATATTGGCTGGAACCCTGTTGGGAAGTTATGTAATCATAAACAGACTTAAAGAGAAGGTTTCCCCTGACATTAAGTCTAGCTGTGTCCGAATCTGAGGGGTGGTGGTCATCTCCATTTCAAAGCCGAGAGCCAGGGTTGTCCGTAGACACCTCCAAGGTCATGTGGCCAGCATGACTGCATGGAGCGCCATTACCTTCCCACAGAAGCAGTATCTATTGATCTCACATTTGCATATTTTCGAACTGCTAGGTTGGCAGAAGCTGGGCCTAACAGCGGGAGCTCACCCCTCTCCCCAGATTCGAACCTTCAACTATTTGGTCAGCAAGTTCAACAGCTCAGCGGTTTAACCCACTGCCTATAAACAGACTTAAGATTGTGAAAAGTTGATTTGCGCCATTGCAATATGTGCTCAGGAGTAGAGTGAGGAATGTCGCTCTGTTATCAGACTCATGATTAGACCCAGGAGTATAGTTGCGCAACAATTCCAATGTGTAACAAGACATCTTGCACAATGCCCCAGTATGCACTGTCGCGTTCACTTTCATGGCTGTATATTATGTGTGTGTCCAGCCATGCAAGTGAACTATGACAAAGCACACTGGAAGTTTCACATCCTAATCTTTAAAACAGGATCTCAGCCAATATGTATAGTATTTCTATAATAAAGTATATTACTACACATTTGAAAATCTGCTATCCTCTTTAAACTCAGTTTAAAAATGCATTTATATATACAAACAGCAACAAAAGACAAAAAAGGAAATAATACCTTTGGATGTTTTCTTCATTAATTTAACCCAGACACTTTTCAAACATTTAGTGTTCTCTTGGCACTTTCCTTTCCTTTCTCTCATGTTACATGCGTAGACTGACTGAAGAACTTATACTGTGTACATAAGAACATAGTAAACCTATAAGTTACCTAACATTCACACAATAATTTTGTAAACATTAAGTGATGAAGTATTGTGATCTAAACATACAAACAACTTTTTGGAAGAATTATAGTATCACTGCCCTTACACAAAAAGTACAACCATATTATATAAAATTTTACTTTGCCACTAAAACCCATGGAAGAATGAACACACTTTGTATGATAATACAACTCAGTAGAACTTCTCATTCTGATTTCAATGGTGTCGTCCTTCTCCCTTTAAGATTGCCATACAAAATGCAGACCTAAAAGGCGTATTTGCTCCATTTGTTATGGCAAGAACCCTTTCTTTCCCAATTACATCCTTTTGTATAAATTCTTCTTAAAGAGTAGAGTTTATACTTCCTTTCTGATTTTTTTCTGACAAATCAATAGTGAGTTCTTCCTAATGTCATTTGGTTTTTGATAACCTACAAATTTAATTTATTTCCCACCCTTTTCGGCACATCTTTAATATTGGCTAGAAACTGCTACGCTTTGTTAGTTCCAATAAGAAAGCAGCTAAGATGGTTGGTTATTTGCAGTCCAGAAAGTGTTGTCTGAGAATGCCAAAGTTTTATGTGTATTCTAACAAAGAAATTACAATTAATTTGCCTTTTGCAGGTAATGCTTTCTTAATAGTAGTCAGACATGCTGTTTCTTTTAAGAAAAATAAGGCTAACCATGGAAATTCACTTTAGGGCATTTGGGTTTGCCTTGTCTGGTAAATACAGATCAGATAAAAAAGTCTGAGGTTACTTTCAAACTCCCATGTGAGCAGCATAATATGATAATTTGAGAATGTGAAGGAGTTTTTAAACTGTCTTCAATAAAAACAGTGAAACCCAAAAGCTCCTCTGTGGACAAAATGGCTAGACTATTCAACCATATGCATTGCCCTAGCTGCTTTAACATACATGAAAAACGATATACTGTTGTTTATTGTTGTTGTTGTTACAGTTATTACACCTTTTTCCCAGTCTGGGACCAAAGGTGGATTACGACGTTAAAAGAAATGTAGTTTAAAATATACAAAACACACAAAAAAGTTATCTTTTGCTTTTTATTCCCTTGTTGAAAGCATTACCTGTAAAAGAATGTTGGGAAAGCTCCTACTGCTCTGATCTAGTTAAAATGTTGCATTCCAGAATTAGAAGAGGTTGCAAATTTTGATTCACACCCATCTCTGTTATCACTGGTGATTAAAAAAAAAACAGGCTGCAGACACAGGCTGTCCTTTGGAATACCAAATAAGTGTTAAAAGCATCAGCCTGTTTTTACAATGAACTCTACTACTAAATCAACCGCAGGAAATTACAATTAATTTAATTTGAATTATTGCTAGTTTTAAAATACCATAACAACCCTCCTACGAACTGCTAGGGCCTCAATCAGAAGGGAGTCCCAAACTTATTGCACCTCTATGAAATTATTCTAAATTTCAGCAATAAAAAAATTACATGAAAGAAGTTCCAATAAATGGGAATTCTCGTGTGGGAGAATACACTCTCCAGCAGTACTTTATATCCCTTTAAAAAAAGCAACACTGTAACTTTTGTGTAATCTTTTTTTCCAAAGGGAAGGAATTATTTTAACATGCAAAGTAGCAGCCATTTCTTAGATGGGCCAACTTCTGTTTGCAATCTTTTCTTGCATACGCTTTTCTGAACAATGTCTATTCCTTTTATTGTTATTTTCTATACGTCTTTGGGCTGAAATGTCTGTAGCTATTCTACAGTGCCATCTTGCATTGTCACTCATTCTGGCCACTCAGGGAGAAGGTTCCAGGCATGTGCTAATGGCAAAGTTTCTTTATGTCTCCATGTGATCACCCACAGATGACTGCTTATGGGGCTTTCCTCCACAAAGGCTCTTTCTGCAGAAACTATTTCAACATCTTGGACCTGCTGGTGGTTAGCGTTTCTCTCATCTCCTTTGGGATCCAGTGAGTGAGTTTTTTGGCTCAGAAAATCCATTGTATATGGAGATTGGTAATGACATGGAGAAACACTGTTTCTACAATACAAGCTTGAATTACATGAGGCCTTAGTTTTTATTACAAATTCCTGAATACAGGCAGTCCCCGAGTTACAAACATTCACTCCTGAAATAATTAGCATGGGAAAAAGGTGTCTCTACTGAAGCTTTATCACCAATCTTTGTTTCCACAACAAGCCATATTTTTCTTGTTTGTAACTTGGGGGCTGCCTGTACTTAAGTCTAGCCAGTTAAAACTCACAAGTTTCAGCTTTTGAACTAAAGAAAACACATGGCATCATAACCATCATATGCTACCAGTGTTAATAGAAGACCAAAATCATCCTCTAGGGAGCACAGAATCTAGATTAAAAGTAGGATGGTGAGGAAAGCGGAAGCAGGGACAAAGAGAGGGGATGCACTTCTAGGACTTGATTACAAGGATTTGAGAAATATTAACAGGCATTAACACAAGAATTCTGGACAGACATGTCACAGACTGTAAAAGAAGAAAGAGAAGCCTTTCAATTTAAAGCCAAGGAGTTTGTGCTATATCCGGGAACAGACAGAAATCCACAGAGGCATCATGTGGGATGGATTATTTGGGTAACACAGCACTGGACAGACATTAGGAATCAATATAAGACTAAAGAAAATTGCAGAAAGATTTCAGGAATCTAAGTAAGGGAACACAGAGTTTGGATGACTTTTTTCTGAGAGGATATAGAGAATATAGAAGTTGTGAGACATGCAAAGAGAGGAGGAAATAATTAATGTGAGCAATGGGTCTTAATTGAGAGGGGATTATTCAGCAGGTAAATGGTCTTCAATGCACTGTCACAGATTACATTGGTCTGTTGAATTCAGTTGAGACACATATGCAGGGGTGAACCCACTTTCCATTGAGATTCACGATATTTTGTGCTGGGTAGATGCAAACTGCAAACTGTGGAAACTGTTTTAAAATGCATGATTCACTGGAAAAAAAACTGTCATACTCCTTTCTCTGAATTAACTTTTTGGTGAAGTTTTTCTGAGTATCCTTCGTAAACACTCTTGTGATTACTGCAGGTTGACATTTTTGTAATAAGTCCTCAGGACATTTGGCAAGCCGCTCTGTTCAACAGAATCTTCCATTTTTTTTCCCTTATTATCTTCTGCATTTAGTTCAGCACAATGACTAACAGGTCCTTCCCTTATGGGTGAATGCTGTATCTCCATTAATAGACTATTAAAAGACTATTTAAAAAACAACAAAAGCACTCTGTTAAGTATAGTATTGAAACATAAATTTAAGATGAAATCAATGTAAAGAAAGAACAAATGCAAAAAAGAACACTTTCTACTCTCAACTGCTAATATGGTTACATTTGCCTTTCAAAATACAGTAGTAAAATTAATATGTTCTCTATTGAAAACCCTATTTCAGTTTATCAGCTGTTAGGATTTCTGGGAGTTGATGGCCAAAACATTTGGGGGCCCACAGAATGAGAACCGCTGGCCTATACCATTCATTAGAAATACCTACTTGAAGATTTATGAATGAGTAGATATTGTAATTTATGCAAATCAATCCAAATGCTACAGGAAAAAGGAACATCCACATATTCAAACACACTGGGCTTGAAAATATTCTTCAAAAAATTCAAAAGTAAAGCCTTGATTTTACTATTTTATACAAGGGGAACCATTTTACTACATTGTTGTGTATCATGAGACTTGAGCAACTATGGATTTTAATATTTACAGAGGATCTTGGAACCAAACCCTAGCAAATACAAAGTGTCCACAGTATGGGTCTTTTACCAATAATGTTCACATGTTCTGAAAACTTTTCTCTCAAGTTGTGAGAACCCAAAAAAGGCCATGTAGTATGGTGGTGAATAATATTTCCTTAGTTTAGTGAAACCTGTGTTCAGATCATATGAAGTAGTTCATTTCATGTACTGTATAGTAAATTCAACCTTTCAGCCAAGACCAATTATCTCACAACAATTGTAAAGTATGATATCCTGTGCTGTTTGCCTACAGATCTAGTGCCATCAATGTTGTGAAGATACTACGAGTCCTGAGAGTGCTCAGACCACTGAGGGCCATCAACAGAGCCAAAGGCTTAAAGGTAGAAGATATCTCAGAAGTCGATTCTCTGTGTGCATTTGCACAGGTGATGGGGGCCAGGGGTAGCAGAATAGATGAACTGAACTGGATGAGTACAGGGCATCTCTATGCTTTACAGGAAGTCTTCAGCCATAATGGTTCTCAACCTGTGGGTCCCCAGATGTTTTCACTGTCAACTCCCAGAAATCTTAACAGCTGGTAAACTGGCTGGGATTTCTGGGAGTTGTAGGACAAAACACGTGGGGACCCACAGGTTGAGTACCACTGCCTTAAGGGAAGAGTTGATGGCATCCCTATACTATGGCAAGAGGCAGAAGCCAACAGATCTTTGATGGGAGCCAAGGTGTCTTCGACTAGGAGAATGCCCTGCAGTTTGACAGAAAGATGTTTAACAGATCTCTATATTATATGTTCAAGGAATTTCTTATTTACTGTGTACAATCCTCCATCCTCCATTGTAGTCTTGGCCATTTGGTCTGATGGAGGAAGATCACCACTAACATCATAGCACAACAGTGAACCATTCAAATTTATTTTCTAGATGCAATATAGTATTGCAGTATAGTGTTCAGTTGTTATATCTTTTTCTACAGCTGTTAGCTTTCACCACATTCAAAGATGTGTATTCCCAGGTATCGTGCAGATGTACAATAAGATGTCAGTATTACAAGATTACTGCTTATTTATTTATATTCAACTCTGAACAAATTTAAAATTAACAAATCTGTTCATTCTTGTTTCCACCTTCTGTTTGCAGCATGTAGTCCAGTGCGTGTTTGTAGCCATCCGAACAATAGGGAACATTGTGATTGTCACCACATTACTACAGTTCATGTTCGCCTGCATAGGGGTCCAGTTGTTCAAGGTAAGCATTATGATCTCTGTTCTCCTTTTGTGTTCTTTGATTAATGCAGAAGGCGGCAGATGTATTTGACCAAGTTCAAGCAAAGGATGTGATGATGAATGACTTGGACCTTTAATTCTAATCACTGCTACCACACACAAATATTACAGTGATTGGCCTATTTACTTTAAACTTGCGTGAAACAGTTTAGATGTGTCTTTTTTGATCAAGATATTTATACACACCTAAACATGCATACATACATACAAACAAAGCTAGGAAGAAACAAGACAGAGACATGTCAGAATAGCAAAGTCAGGACAAAAAAAAATCAGGATGCAACATTTTATTATAATATACTAATAAGATTGTAAACCTGAGGACAGAGAACTGTTTTGTTTTTCTTTTACCTATAAAGCAGTGACACTATATAAAATAATAGTACTGTGATTGCGCTGTAGAAAATGACTACAAGCCCAAATTGTTTTTTCTTCATGGTCTCTGTGAATGCTCATACAGTACAATTTGGAACCTTCCAGAGAGCTAAAGGATACCTTTTGGCAGTAACTCTGCCCAACATCCCTATGGTATATAATGGGGAGGCATCGCCATTACCTCAGTTCTTTTCTTTATCGGGGCTCCCATCTCACTCTGCTAGTCAACTAGCTGACTAGTTTTACTCTGTATTTTGTGAGCCTGAGGACCTTCTATCTATCCGAATCCTGAAAGGTACTCTGTGATGTCAACGGTATGCGCAGGCTGTAAGGCCAAAATTCCTAACAACAATGGCCATTCTAACAACGATGGATACCATCCTATCAGAAGAACTTATTTGAAGAATTCAGAGAAAAGTATTAAAGAAAAGCAATTATTGGTAAAAAAAAAATTACACAAAAGCCTCAGCAGTTCTCCCACCCTATTTTTATCAAATGTTTAAGCTGAACATATAAAACAGTAAATATCCAATTCAGTTCTATTTAGCACAATTTGTCTTTTTAACAAGAGTCTTATTCTTAATGGCATCTTCAGGTATGGACAGTGGCATTTTGATATTCTTTCATCCTGACTTTGCTTTGTTTTTGTAAATTGCTGTCTGTGTCTTGATTCTTTCCAGTTGACATGATTTAATTTGCATGTCCAAGCAAAATGAAGTAATATTGGGGCAATAATTCGAGTTCTTAAAGTCTTTAAAATGTTGGCAGGCAAATGAAAAAATAGTATTTCCTTTTGCAGTAGTAATTTTAACAAACCTCAGTGCTCAGTAATGAAATGATTTGTGATTTCTCTGATTTCTCCTCCAGGGCAAACTGTATAGCTGCAGTGATAGTTCCAAGCAGACAGAGACAGACTGCAAGTGAGTTCATCATCCCTGTTTCATATCAACTGCATTTGATGCCAAAAAGTGTATTATCTTCTGTGTATTTCAACACACCCATCCTTCTTCTTCTAATAGGGGAAGTTTTATTACTTACAAGGATGGAGAGGTGTCTCAACCAATGATCCAACCTCGAAAATGGGAGAATAGTAAATTCGATTTTGATAATGTCCTTACTGCCATGATGGCCCTTTTCACTGTTTCAACCTTTGAAGGTTGGCCAGAGTGAGTACACAGTGTAAACTTCATGCAATTTTCTTGTCTTTTGGGGGGTGGGGGCGGGGGGGAGTTGCATGTTTAAATATGTACCTTATCTTAGTTCAATCCAATTTTTAAACAGGAAATTTTCATAACTGGTATCTATTGAAGCATTTTCAAGACTAGTTCAGGGTGCCAAAACCTAAAATCATCTTACCAATAGTTACTGTCCCATGCTTCTAGTTGACTACTGTAGCAAGCAAGTGGAAGCTCATGACATATCATGGAAAAATGCAGGCAGTATTTTTGAGCTTTGTTATTTTTCATGCTTACTGTGGAATGCTGGTAACAGAGGCTATACAGCTCATACTAGTGCTCCTATTCTGGTTTCTGTCAGCCCTGAGAACTGATAGAGCCACTCCTCGCTGCTTTCTGTGCAGTTAGGGCCATTTGGAAATGCACTTAATGTCTCTCTGGGTTCTCTCTTTTTCTTTTTTTTTCTAGACTGCTGTACCGATCCATTGATTCCCATATGGAAGATGTGGGTCCTATCTATAACCACAGGGTGGAGATCTCCATTTTCTTTATTATCTACATCATTATCATCGCTTTCTTCATGATGAACATCTTTGTTGGTTTCGTCATTGTCACTTTTCAGGAGCAAGGAGAACAAGAGTACAAGAACTGTGAGCTGGACAAGAACCAGGTAATAGAAGAGCATAGCATGAGTAAAAATATTCAGTGGTACAATGGCTGTCAAAAAGAAATCCTATAATGCATGGAATCATTTCTCATTTTGAGAGATATGCAAATCTAAGTTTTTATGCCACATGTCTATATCTAGCACAATATTGCTCTTGCAGGAATTTTCATCGTGGATAGAATGTTTTTCTTGGGTATTTTTAATTATTACACATTACTAATATTTCTATATTGCCCTATTTGCAAAACAAAAACCATCAAGGCAATAAAACTAAAATAAATAATGAGCTCATCACAACAAATAACAACCCATGTGTAGCCATTAAAACATGGGGGGAAATAACACATGTAAAACAATGTAAAATAATTGTTTAAAAAACCAAAAAGCTCAAGAGTGGATATGACTATCCCACCACCCACTGCGGCGATAGTTCTTCTTTCCACCGATTGTCCACTACTTGCCAGTCTGCCTCCATCAAATCCCTACAGTTCACTAAAGCGAAATTTCTGCCATCAGAATCTGATGAGATAGGATTGTTGTTGTTATGTGCTTTCAAGTCATTTCAGGCTTAGGTTGACCCTGAGCGAGGGCCGGGTAACGGACCTTGGAGGGCCGTATCCGGCCCTTGGGCCTTAGTTTGAGGACCCCTGTTCTAAAGTTATGAAAAATCTATACAAGCTCTAAATTTAAAACTGAAGCTATGATTCTGTTGTTTGTCCATTCAGGCCCAGGGCTTTAAATGTGCTGCCACCAAGAATAAAAATAATTTGCTACTTTTTAGAAATACAGATTTTTTTCAAAGAAAGCAAAATTCAGAATTATCTTCATCTCTATATGCCATGTTTTTAAAATCTGCTCCAGAGGAGAGCAGCTTCTATTTTGGAATTTTCTAGCTGCATCTAACCATCTAACCCACTATATTTGAGTATCCTTCGGGAGAGATAAAATGGGTATATAAATAAACATAATAATATATTTTTTTTCTTAACAGCGTCAGTGTGTAGAATATGCCTTAAAGGCCCGTCCCCTTCGAAGGTACATTCCCAAAAACCAGTACCAATATAAAGTGTGGTATGTGGTGAACTCCACCTATTTTGAATACCTTATGTTCGTCCTCATCTTGTTGAACACTATCTGCCTCGCTATGCAGGTAGGTCAGCAGTCAGAAAGTACTGTGTTGTGATTTCATGGTTCTTAACCTTTTCTTTTTCATGGAACATGTATTTTGTTGCTGCAGAACCCCAAGACTTAACTCAAGCTTTAAAATCCTAATGTGCATCAAATATTCATTGAAAGTTGCCCTTTGGGGAGAAGGGGGAAATAAGTAAATGCATACATTTCCATTATATTATTTGATTGGAATGGCTCCATTTTTTAAAGAAATAGCAATAGTGCTAGTAGTGGTCGTAATAATAATAATAATAATAATAATAATAATAATAATAATAATAATCCTCTCTGGGATGACTGCTGTGATCATGTGACAAAAGTCAATTAAAAGGCTTACTAGTTGAGCTTGTGTGTAACGAGGTGTTTGTCACTGTCTATAGCCACATACATTTTCTACATTGGCCAGATTTCTTTTTCTCCTGCTGCTGATGCCTAATAGTTCATCCCTTCTGTAAATCGTTTGGCACCAATCCGCTTTAGAAATGTGCCAGTGGCATCACTTGGGTTGTGGTGAACTTGGTATGCACATTAGGATTTTAAAGCTTGAGCATTTTCTCATCCCATTGCAGTCACTCATGGTGTCACTCCCCAGGTAAGCTGCCACCCCACAAATCTAATGAATGGGATCTGCTGGTGGAGGGAGAGAGCTAGTCTTGGTTGCCTCCACCTCTTACCCATACCACTGCGCTTGTGCCTGGCCTCTCTTGCCTTCTCTTCTTCGATTCCCTGTGCATTCTTCTGAGGAAGAGGAGGGGTCTATTGGATGCCATAATGATGCCTGTCTTCCCCAACCTGGCCAACAGGGGCAGCCTGGCAACAGCAGCACCCCACTTCCACCAACTGCCACAGCAGACAGACAACAGAGAAGCCTAGCTGCTCAGTGCCTCCTATTCACAGTGGAACTGCCACAAAACAGACAATGCACAGGCCCAACCTACCAGGCTTTGCCTTGGATCGTATTGTGTAGCTGCTCTGCTGTGAGAAGGAGGAGCAGTCCTTGAGCCTTTCCTTCTATACTTAATATTAAAAGAAGTAATATAAAAAAAAACAACCAATCAGCTAAAATACCAAGTTAATGGCGTGCACATCATCTTAAGCCAATTATTCTCAACCTGTGGGTCCCCAGATGTTTTGGGCTTCAACTCTCAGAAATCCTAACAGCTGGTAAACTGGCTGGGATTTCTGGGAGTTGTAGGCCAAAACACCTGGGGACCCATAGGTTGAGAGCCACTGTCTTAAGCAATAAAGACTCATGGCTTGATGAAGTGCATTTTAGTTGTACCCTAAAATTAAAAATAGGAGGGACAACTACAAAGGAAATTCTATAGCTGGCATGCCACCACTAAGGAAGCCATGTTTTGTATCAACACACATCTACTTCAAGGATTAAAAGCAGAGTCTCCCTGATTAATTATTAAAGCACGGCTTCAGTGAAATGAGCCTGGTAGTTCACAGCTGTGCTTTAAAGATCACTGTCACATAATCCCAGTTAGCTGCTCCACTTAATAATATGCCAGGTACATTCTGCATTAACTATAGCTTCCAGACAATCTTTAAGAGGGAATGCACTGTAGTAATCCAATTATAAGATTATTAGAACATGGAAAACATAAAGCATGTTGTCCTAGTCAGGGTACAGTCACAGGTAACAGATGTATTGAAATTGAGCATATGCACTCTTAACCACTGAGGCTATCTGGGCTTATAGCTCTGAACTAAGAAGGCTTCAGAAACTACATTGCTGACCCTAGAATATCTCCAGGCTGTCTCCCTAATTTCTGGGTGTGTGAATCATTTGGAGACAATTTGTTTAGTTTGTTAGCTTTTTAGTTCATACCCAGACTAACAGATGTGACAGACTGTGAAAAAAAACCTCTTAAATGTACCAGTGACCACTGCCAATTTATGCCAAATTATTACCATATTCATTTTCTTTCTTGAAAACACACTATAGGCTAGCAGCTGGTGTTTGTCACTGTCTATAGCCACTTCTCTAATAGTTGCAAAGCTTCTCATTCAAACAGAATGGAGAGATGGAGTCTAGTGTCAACAGCATATTGATGACACTCAGCCCTAAATCCTTCTATGACCTTTTTAATAAGATGGGTGAGAGTAGAGAACTTTGTTCTTCTCTAATATAAACACTGAAGGTAAGAGTGGAATCAGGCCAATACACTGTATCCAACATCCAGTCCACAGAGTTGTTCTAGCTGGCCACAGAAATCAATGATGTTAGATGCTGTGGAGAGATTCGGAAGACTCAGAAGGACAGCACTCTGTTATCTCTACCCTAATTTTCAGTTAAGGTGATCAAAGGTGTTTGGTTGACGCCATATTTAAATGAGCTTAGATAAAAAGGAGGAGGATCAGGGGGATCCTGCCTTGGTATATATGGCTACTTTATGGATTAAGGAAGATTGTCCATTTTGTATATTGGAATTAGCTGTATGAATTCTGAAAGCCCCATCCAGACTGTAACAACTAATAGTATCTTTGAATTATAATAGGTGGAAAACCATGTTAAGATATCTGATGTAGATAAGAGATAAAAGGTTTCTTTAGTTAAATCTGAAATAATCACAAATAAATAAGGCTGTGGGCATAAAAAGAAAATTACCAGTAGTAGAAAGATGAACATAAATGTAATACAAACAATTTATTTTTCAAATATAAAGTGGTATGACTTATTTTTCAGCACTATGGTCAAAGCTGCCTCTTCAAAGAAGCAATGAACATTCTCAATATGCTCTTCACTGGCCTCTTCACCGTTGAGATGGTTCTGAAATTAATTGCCTTCAAACCCAAGGTAGGTATTGTTGATCAAGCTATATCTCTGGGCACCAATAGAACGGAGGACAGGAGGATATGAAACTAGCAAATAAACCCAGCTCTATCCTACATTCTATTTCATCATCAAGTCAGAAAATGGACTTGAACAGTTGTTGTCTGGACTGGAGTCTCAATCTGTGTTTGGAGGCACTTACCACACTTAAGTTGACTTACAAAGAAAACATACACTTGGAAACAAATATTCATAATAATTTTCATGCTATTAATTTGAGATGCAGTTATTCAATATTTCCATGCCAATACCACATAGGACTGTGCTTGGAGAGCCACCACAAAGTGACATTTCATTTAGACATCTCAGAGTTGAGAACTGTATCCATCACCTTGAAGGGCCATATCACTCTGATTCCTATTCTTAATTCACTGGACCCAGATGATTCATTGGATTCAAATTTTGGATCCCCAAATGCTCTAGAATTGCTAAGTGCTCCCTTTAATGGTCACAGTTAAGCATTTTGTCATATTGATTTTTTCTGGTTACTTATTTGTATAGGATATGAAGGCTCCATTCTCATGCTGCTTCAATTTGCTCCAAGGAGAAACTACCATTGAAACCAATGGATGTTGTCTCCCAGGGCAAATTCATCCCAGGTTCAGGGTAGACATGGATTATTTGTTGGGGGTACAGATGCGGAAAATTAACATCTCACCTTTCCCATGTGCTTAGTCAGAATATGCTTTTCTAAAAACACACAATGAGAAGACTTCAGCTTTGAGGAGTATACTTTACTAGAACATTGTGATCCACCAAATGAAGCCATGAGCCAAAGAAGTACACTTCAAACAATGCTAAAGATTTCTGAGTCTAGAATTTGTTATGAGTACCAGGAATTAACTAAGCTAATAGTCTTTCTGCACAAAAGTCACCCACCAAATACCACTGGTCTTAGCTGTCCTCATGCCAGTAATAAAATTTTGAGACATAGGAAGTTATTTTGGTATTGTCAGTTTAAATATTTGGAAAGTAGAAATCCTTGCTAGTATACCAAAATATCCCAGTTTACCTTTTGCCTAACACTGGCATAAAAGCACACTAATATGCAATGTAGCGCAGGGGGGGGGGGGGGAGCATCTAACATCATTGATTTCTGTGGCCAGCTAGAACAACTCTGTGGACTGGATGTTGGATACAGTGTATTGGCCTGATTCCACTCCTACCTTCAGTATTTATATTAGAGAAGAACAAAGTTTTCTATTCTCACCCATCTTATTAAAAAGGTCATACAAGGATTTAGGGCTGAGTGTCATCAATATGCAATTTGTCAGGAGCAAATTGAGAAACTGCAAGTCGCTTCTGATGTGAGAGAATTGGCCATCTGCCGGAACGTTGCCGACTGAAGTCCCCTCTAAGAAAAAAAGTAGCTCTGCATATCATAACAATACACACTAGAATATGATAGCCAGTTGCCAAATTTAAATACACAGTTTGAGAAGTTTGTATGCATTACCCTATATCGAATAGTTATAACCTTTGCTGCATTACTATAAGATTAGACTTACAGCATCTGTCTTTATGAGGAGATGCATCATATTGTATTTAAGTTCAGTAGTACATGAAGTGTGATTAGTGGATTACCAGCATAGCCTTTTAACAAGGAAAACTATTTTTCTCCTTTTCATTTCATTTGGATGTTGATCCCATACAGATTACTATTAAATGAACAACTCAGTGGCTTTATTCAAGACAAAGTTGAAAGAAAGCTTTACAGCTGAACACTTTACCTACCCAAAGTGTTTTCTTTCATAGATAACACAGAATTTTAAAGTAACTACAATATGAATCACAGATATGAAGAGCTAATTAAATTATTTCGAGCAGGGGTCTCAAACTTTTTCTGCCATGGAACACTTTTTGAAGCAAAAGTTTCTTGTGCAACTCCTCAAAATGTTTGCATATTATATTCTATATAAAGTCTATACATCAGGCATGGGAAAACGTTTTGATGCATTGCACTTTAAAACTTGAGAGATGGTCTAGGCCAGTGGCAGATGGATGGAGAGTGTTTGTGCAAACTAATTGGAAAAAAATGAAGAAATTCCTATGCACACTGCACATATCTCATTTGTAGTGTAATAAAAGGAAAGAACAATACAATATTTTAAATGAAGAACAATTTTATCCAATATACACTTAACAGTATTTCAGTGGAACCAACCCTCTTCTGCCATGCAAGAAAAGCACAATCAAAGCACCCTCAACAGATGGCTACCCAGCCTTTTGTAATAATAAGAATAAGAATATAAAAATAGCAGAAACTCCAGGGGCCATCCAGTACAACCCCCTTCTGCCATGCAGGAAAAACACAATCAAAACACCCCCGAGCGGTGGGAGGGGAATAGGGTTTTTGAAGCAAGCAAGGCAAGGCCAAAAGGATCTGGGTGGTGGGTAAGGCAAGGAAAAAAGGCTTATGGCAGCAAGGGAGGCAGGGGACAAAGCTTTTGGTGGCAATGGAGGCGGGGAGAGGGGGAGGAGCAGGAAGGAGGAGGGATGCACGAAGCCTCTCAGTATATTTTGCGGAGCCCCAAGGTCTCCACAGAGCACACTCTAAGAACTGCTGATTTAGAACTGCTGATGTAGAGTAACAATTTGGAGAGACTACCAGTTACAAATGTTAACTTAATACCTTTGTTACCTGCATAATAGTAAAGATCAAATCATAAGCAGATAAAATAGATATACTTTCCATTCATACTTTTAACTTAATAAAAATGATGTGCTTTATTACAATTTCATTATCTGTTTAGAATTGAAGTCCAGTTTTTTAGCACAGAACCTTGCTCAGAGCTTGCTCAGAAACTGTTGTTCAGCTTCGCCTACTGTAGTAACAAAGAAAGAATAAGGAGGGAGAGATTGCCACAAGTAATTGTGGAATTCTGAGTGTAAGATGTGCTTTGCTGACCCATGACTCCCAAATTTTGACTATTTGTGTTAACTTGCATTTATACATTGAAGGGATTAACTGAACTTGAGAAACTTCAAATCACTTCTGGTGTGAGAGAATTGGCTGCCTGCAAGGACATTGCCCAGGGGATGCCCAGATGTTTGATGTTTTACCATCCTAGTGGGAGGCTTCTCTCATGTCGTTGCATGGGGAGCTGAAGCTGACAGAGGGAGCTCAACCCACTCTCCCAGGATTCGATCTGCTGACTGACAGTCAGCAGTCCTGCCGGCAAAAGGGTTTAACCCATTGCGCCACTGGGGGCTCTGGTGCTGGGAAATGACATCTGCAACACTTTCCTGGTCACATAGTGCCTTGAGAAAACAGTTGTGGCAGGAGTCCAAGAAAATTTTAGCTGTACTGTATATTTAATAGAGACAAAAGTGTACAGTGTCCCCTCACTTATCATGGGGGTTCCGTTTCAGGACCACCCGCAATAAATGAAAATCTGCGAAGTAGGTACACCATATTCATTTTAATATTTATACATTATTTTATATATATTGTGTATTATTTTCTTACCGCGCTTCTTTACCCACCTCCTGGCCCTTTCCAAGGGCACCTGCCTGCCTCCCTGGCCTCCGCAGACCCCGGCAGAGCCTCCAGAGCCACACAGGTAGCAGCAGGCTAGGGAGACAGACCTTCCCCACCGCACCTCAGGCCGCCGTACTTCCGGGGTCTGTGGAGGCCAGGGAGGCAGTCCTTCCCCCATGCACCTCAGGCCACCACACTTCCGGGGTCTCTGGCCTCCACTAGACGTAAATATTTTATATTTTATATTAATATTTTCAAACCCCCACAAAACAGTGAGTCTGCTAAAAGCAAACCGCGAAGTAGCGAGGGAATACTGTACACTATCTTTACAGCAAAAGAAATGGAACATTTAACATTAATGAAACATATACAAATTTTATAGAAAAATAGGAGGAGAGGCGGAAAGTAATGAGAGCTGCTATTTGCCCCAGAGGAAAAATACATAGTTTAAATAGCAGCTTCCCTCCAAGACAATCAACCAGCTTTGAGAGACCATTAAAAACTGCTTAGAAAGCCGCATCTTATCTAATTTGGCCTTTATTACACGATGAACCAGCTGTTGAAAAAACATTTTAACTATTCAGTTTGAAGGTATCAACAGCTAATTGCTGAAGAGAGGTAGTCTTATATGCCAAGTATATCCCAAACTCTATATTTTAACTGGAAAAGTTGGGGGTCATCTTATGCGCCTAGTCGCCTTATACGCCAGAAAAATACAGTAGTTTACAGAATTGGACTGTAGTAGTCTTTTGTTTGTTTTGGTAATTAAGCCATAGCAGTTCCCTTGAAGTTAAATCAAAAGCAGATTTGAGATTGATTAAGGCAATGAAATGTATATACTTCTCAGCAACATGGGCTGAAACAGCAATGACTTAAAACCTAATAGCCAGCTTTAAATCTAGTCTCTCACCAATAATTCTGTTTTCCATCCATCTGCTTTGTTTCTTTAACATGACATAATCAAGACTCCAAGAAACAATTTGAATTTAAAAGTGTTAGCTGCCATTTATTAGCAGAAAGTTGGGGTATAAATAAATACATAAAATAACAGTAAAGGTCAGTTTTTTCTTAAATGATAGAGAATGAGTAAGTGGCCCTCTGTGTGTTGTTGGTGTAAATACAACCTAAGCTGAAATAGGAGGAACATACAAAAAAGGCAGAAGAAATAAACAACTTGGTCTTGATAAAAACAATTTTGTAGTTAAACAACTGCAAGAGGTGGAGATTACAGAAAATGAATCTAAGATTTATCTGTATTCTAAGTAAATGCTTTATCACTATATCCTGTAGTCCCTCCATTGCTACTGGGTAACATAACATAAAAACCTGTCTTTTTGTATGTTAGGTTAGAGTGTTGAGGGCACAGAGACATAACAAAACTACATATTATATTAACTTCTGCACAGAGAAGTACATATAGAACAGTCTTGCACTCTGAGCTTCCTTTGGTAGTCACATGCCTTTTCATTATTGGAGAATATAA